ACACCAAACTCAATGCCATCAAGTCGATTCCGACTCATAACGACCCCTCCATTGGATTTCTGAGGCTGTAAATCTTTACAAAAGTAGATTGCCCCTCTTCCTTCCATGGAACAGCTGATCTTCTGGTTAGCAGCTAATGCCTTATCAACTATGCCACCAGGAGCACCTTCTTCTGTAAACAAACTAACCACAATGCAAAAGGTCCATAGAACTCAAATCATACTTTTATGTTTGTAGCAAATTTGGAATTCCTCTTGTGGTTTGGTTCTGCTCAAACCCAAAATTCTAAAAGCAAGAGAATTCCCAATTAAAGTAGACTTCTAGGGAAATGGTAGAATCCTGTTACTAAAACTCACCCACCCCCACCAACATTCCCCACTATCACTATCATTCTCTTTGTCACACTGGAAAGGGGTGAACCAAAGGACAACCCCACACCCTACATGCTCACATGAATTCTTCATCTTTTGTGGTCCGTATGCGCACATAGGCATCGATGACAGCTGGCTTTCGGACAGTCTCACAGCGAACATACTCTTTCCCCTCCTCATCTCGAAATGTCCGATAAATCTTAAGACAGCGGCCAGTGGCAGAAGAGTTAAGACTAGTCACAGAAGCTGTGTCATCATCTCTGTGATTGTTTCCTGATGCTGCTGAGCCTGCTGCTGCAAGGCAGAAAAAGATTTTCATATAGTCAACTTATCCTCCCAAATGGCTATTGTCTTAGAGTTGATTAGAGACCTCAAAGCTCAATATGCCACAAGACTATGAGTCTACAAAAAGCATGAGTCACCTTCAGCCCCAGGAGACACTTAGTTGTCCTTTCCTGACTTCAATTTCCCTGCTAATTTTTCTTTTTTTAACAAATACAAAAAGTTCTGAAAGAACTACATGTTTACTATAGGGGACAGAAGAGCAGTTAAACTATATTTTGCTTCCCCTGGTCAAGAGACAAAAGTCCAAGCAGGAAGAAGTTGATAATCACATTAAAAGCACCCACGGGGATAAAATGACACCATGGAAACAAGTCCAGAGTCTTAAGGTCTAAAGTATGCTTCTCAAACTTTAATATGAATAGGCATCACCTAGGGATCTTTTTAAAATGCAAAACCTAATTTAGCAGGTCTTGGGTAAAGCCTGAAATTGCATTTCTAACAAGCTCCCATGTGATATAGATACTACTATTGGTCTTGGACCACACTTGAAGCAGCAAAAACCTAGAGCATCAACTGGTGGAAGGGCTATATCAAATCTTTACAAAGTAGTCACAACAACAAAATTACACAAAGCTTTTATGGAGAAGGGGAAACACAGGAAAAGCTACTATGAATGAGAATAGTCATTTGAATCTACATCTTAATCCTTATCCACTCTCAGTATCTACATCCTTATTTTAAACTACTTGCTTGACATCTACACTAGAATTGTCACAGGGACCTCAAACTCAACATTGTCTTCAACTCCACATTATTACACCTTCCCTTCCTAAACTTGCTTTTCTCTAAAATTTCCTAATTTAATAATGGTACCATATGTCTAGTATCCCTAAAGTGCTATCTTAAGATCACCTTGATTTCCCCCCTCTTCTCACTCCCAACATTCATATCCCAGTCCTGTTCAGGCTTTCATCATCATCTCCACCCCCAACTTCTGAAGTTTTTGGTTAGTGATTGTTAGGCTGAAGCAAACCCAAGCCACTGACATTTCAGTTAGCAGCTTCCTCTGGTGTCAGGCCCTGACAAGACAGCCTGATAAGACAACCAAAGTGACAGAACCCGCCCAGACTGGAAAGTCCCATGCAGTGGCAAACTTCCTCTTGTGAAGCCTCCTCATGCTAATTAAGTACAGACCCATGCTAACAGCTAATTGGACCCCACCATTTCCTTAGTGTCCCCACTCAGGTCCTCCACAAGACTATAAACCCTACCCTCCCCAGCCAGGCAGTGCGACTTCTCGGGCTCCTCTCAGGGACCCATGAACCTCACCCGGGCCCCTCTCGGGGACCCGTAAACCTCACCCGGAAACTCAGAATAAAAACTTCTCTTTAACCTCACTTTTGTGTGTCCTCTTCTCCTTACTGTGGCCTTACAGTGATTTTCAATTCCTTTTAGAATCGAAGATTCCTTTGAGAACCTCTGGAAGCCATGAATCTTTTCCCCAGAATTTTACATGTAATTTAGGGGGTTCAATGACAAACCTCCTAATTCTTTCATGGATTCCCTATTAAAAACTCTTACCCTCTAGGATGAATGACTAGAAAGCTCACTTGAAGTATACAGATCAGGATAGCCCTGGGTTGGCCAGCACCAAATACAGACTTGAGGCAGTAGTAGATTGGTAGCATCTCTTCATTTTGTCCCCACAGACAAACCTAGAGTCGAGTTTGGAGAAATCTCTTTGACTCATCTACAGGCTTCTCTACACTCATCCACTACTTCTGCTCTCTCCAGCCCTGCCTCAGTCGTATGCAGTTATTTTCACATTCCTTTTTTGATCCTACTCCTCCTTATTTGTCAAGCCACTACCCTCACCCAGTAACATCCGCTGAAGTTCCTTCCGCTCCTGTTCCTCCCGTTCACGTGACAGCTGAGAGCTGGTTTTCTTGTTCTGCAACATGTTCTCAATGTTCTTTCCCATTTCTTCAAAGTCACTGTCTTCAGCTGAGCTGCTGTCTGTGTCAGTTGATAAGACTTCAGTTGATGACAAAACCCTAAAGAGAAAAAACAATGTTAAATTACAACCAGTGAAAATAAAAAAGTACAGAATTAACTAAATAAATATGGTCACAGGCAAGAGTAGGAAACTGGGAAATCAATCTTAAAAAGAATACCCATTTACTTTGGAATAATGGAAATGTTTTATAACTAGATAGAGGGGGCTGGTTGCATAACACTGGGAACGTATGAAGTACTACTGAATTGTTTTAATGATTAATTTTTTATGTGAATTTCATCTCAAATTATTTTTCAAGAAAATACCCACAAACTACTAAGATATGGAGCCTTTAAGAGAACAGCTTTACAGTTTTTTTAGATGTTTACTCAACAAGGCCAAGTTTGAAAGACTGCAGCAACTATTTCAGAATTCCTAGAGAAAAACTAGAAAACAGATCAGTATACTGGTTACTGATCGCTTTCAATGGTGCATTATCATACTTCAACCACTAGACTGTCAGAAGAACCCTGTCACTACTGTTTCTATCCTTCAAAACCTTTGCCAAGTTGCTTTGAAGATAGTGGGTACTCCAGCAGTGTTATTATGAAAGACACCACCCTGAAATCTCAAATAATCTAACAACCTATCACATTTTTAGATGACTTCTTAGAAACCCTAGGAGGGGTTGCTATGAGTCAAATTGACTTGACTCGATGGCAGTTAGTTTTGTTTTTGTTTTTTTCTCCTCTTCATGATAAAATAGTGTCTGTGAACACCCTTCACTTTTCAGATTAGATTTCTTGAAGCAACAGAACAACACACTTGTTCTGTAGGTCAAAGATGCGCTGACATTCCTCTTTGTAACGCTCTTGATGCTCAGCCACAGAAAACCTTGATCCTCGGGCAAATTTACTCATGGGCCCCTCTCCAGAGCGGGCCTGCTCTGTTGACATCGTGCGTACCACATCGATTACTTCCCAGCGGGACAATTTTTTAATCTACAAGACAGATACATATACACACGTATTTACAAATCACTTAGGTATTTTGAAGGACAAATTCAAGCACCACAGGGTTAGACGACTAAATTTTTAAAAAAATCATGTCAAATCAGGTTAAACAGAAAGCTTTCAGAACACCAGCTCCTAGAAAAGCTTTGGATACTACAAGTTAACCCACAAAGTTCTCCAGGTGGTTTCTTTTATCTGTTCCCTAGCCTTTCCTTATGTATACCAAGCCTCTAAATTTTTCTCTTCCACACTCACCTCTTCCTCAGGAACACCAAATTTACGTAGAAGTTGCTTGGCATTTTTCAGAGAAAGGCGACGGAGGTCTGCATCTGTTCCTGTCACTGTCTTCTTTACTGGCTGAGGTTCCTTATCATCCTACCTCAAACAAAAACGGGAGACTCTTAATAAGGTAAACTCTATATAGTCATCCTGCCAACCTAATGACTTTCCACGTCCTCTGCCCTATTCACCTCCAGTCCTTCTCCCTACCCCCCATTTCTTCCTTGATTTTCTCCTCCTGAAAATGCATAGACAGTCTTACCTTCTGCTGTGTTGGTTTGTTTGGAATCTTCACATAGGAGAATCCTTCACCACACCCTGTGGGATCTGCCACCCCAGTCACCTCCAGGAGACACTTGCCCTTCATGGCAGCAATGAAAGCCCTTGTGGTGTTCCAAGGAGCAGTGCGAACCTGAGATACAGAGGATTCTTAAGGCTACAAGAAACATTTGCTCTGTGACTAGGCATTACCCACAAAGGCAGAACAATTAATGTATAATTTGATGCTTTCTTAAAACTGTCCACAGAGATCAATAGTTACATAAAGCTGCCAATACTCAGTTCGCTGCTTTTTTCCTATGGTGCTTACACATCACAATGTTAAATTAAGGGTCAAAACCTCAACCAACCAGGTCAAGAGAAAGAGATGGAACAATGGTACTTTTCAGACCCAAATCCTTTGTGCTTCACTTGGAATTCCCAAAGACAGTGTTGTCCCATTGTAATGATGCTAAAGAGGCAACTTAAGATGGATGATTCTATACCTACTTCTCACTTATTAACTGTTTTATTATCTGACATTTCATATTTACAACAATAGAAAATCTACTGACTATTTTGCGCATTAACATGGGTTTCCACCCTGCATACAGCTCCCAGACGGCAGTGCCACCCATGTCTTTCAGGCTTGCAGATGAAGCAGCCAGTTCTCCAAAAGGCCTCTTGCTAGCTCCATCCCTACAACAAGAGCCACCACTGCAGCTCTTTGTGCAAAAAAGGCAAAAGAGGTGGATTTTGAGTGAGCCCTTTAGAGAAAGGTCAGCAAGTGGCCGGAGGGGTTCGGGAGACCACAGCAGTGGAGGATGCTGCTGTTCCTTCTCTCTGCTCAAGTGCCCTGGGGGGACCAAGTCCTGCAGCAGCAATGGTACTGGAAATAATTCAGGGACTGGGGGCTGTAGCAAATGCTGGCTGTCTCCTCCTTGGCAGCCTGGGCTGGTGAGCTGCTCTTCCAAGAAGCTGTTAAGTCTCCAGGCTCTTGGCCCCTGATTCTAAGCCCTCCAAGAATAGTAGCACACCGCTTGTTTCTGCGGGGTCCTTCCCAGCCTGCAGGGCATCAGCAGGTGACTGGGCTTATGGAGGGGGTGGCTGCAGAGGGTACTGGTATGGGCAGTAACACCCACTGACTATCTTGACCCGCGGCCCTAACAGTTCCTAGAGCCCCAGAACTACCAACTATGGTTCTAGTCCAACCTCTGGGCCTCAGGTCTGCTTGAGTACTAGCCCTGACAGTAGAACTTTGGGGTTCAGAACACAGTGGTGCCAGGAGTACAACAGTTCCGAGGGTCTGGGCTCCAGGGCTGTCTCCGTGTAGTCCTCCTCCTCACATAATGCTCATTTTGCATAATGACCTGGTCTTTGAAATCTAATCATGTTGCCAAGTGAGGAGTGGGTGAATTTGACTGTCCAATTGCTCAAGCATTTTCTTTAGACTGACCTTACGTTCTCATAGTAGACGGTATACATGCTTTCAAATCACTGTTCCCAACCCCAACAGCACTAAACCCAAGTCTATTCAATTTCTGCCATTAGTTTGGTCAAAGTTGTCCTGATGGTTAAGTATTCAGCTGCTAACCAAAAAGTTGGTGGTTCAAACCCATCACTGGCTCCAAAGCAGAAAATACCTGATGATCTGCTTCTGTAAAGATTATAGCCTGGAGAGGTGAGAAGATGGCGTTGTACCTGTAGCCCACACATTTGTTCCCTCTAGCATTTTAATTCCTGAATAACTAGGAACTAAAAAAAAAATAATAAAAACCAAACCCACTGCCACTGAGTTAATTCCAACTCCTAGCGACCCCCACTGGGTTTCTGAGGTGGTAAATCTTTACAGAAGATTGCCTGGTCTTCCTTCCAGGGAGTGGCTGGTGTGTTTGAACCACCACTTCTGGCTAACAGTCAAATGCCTTAGGCACTGCACCACCAAAGTTCCTCATAACCAGGTAGAGCAGACAGAAACAATGATACTGGAGTTGTAAGCAATGAGAGAGAAGGTAGGGTACCAGATCCGGTAGAGGCAGAGAAAAACAGCAGATTAAACTGGGAAAAATAAACAAATCTGCCTAGCTGGCAAAGAGACTGAAAGAGAAACATTTGGAAGATGGCGGAATAGGGAGAGAGCCTGTACAGACCCTCTTCAACAAAGAAAAGGGAAACCAATTAACACAGTCACAGAAGATAATCTTGGACCCAAGCCTTGAAGGGAAGGATACAGAAGCGGACGAAACTGCAACTAGCAGAAGAATTTGCATGAAAATACCAAAAAAAGGAGACATACAGAGTTGCGGTCTGGCAGCGATCCTAAGAGAGCCTGATGGCAAGGCACAGACAGCTTGGAGAGTGCCGAGTGGTGGTAGGACCTAAGAATTAACCTAAAAATCAGCCCTGCTAGCCAGGGACTGCATGGAGGATTGCTCTGGTGGCTAGAGAATAAAAGGTGAAGCACCAGCAAAGAGAAAGGCGGGCTGAGCTATGGACTTTTGCCTGTCCGGAAGGCATCACCATTTTGAACGTTTACAAGCAGCTTGACTATTTTGGATATTTAAAGAGACAGCACTCTCCCAGATTCCAAGGGCTTAAGAACAGGTTCCGCTCACCGGTAACCCCAGGGACACTCCGGACCTGGGTGACTGAAAAGGTGCGTAATTCCCCTTGTTACTCTTATACCCCACACCCCTTGGTGAACAGAAGTGTGGCCATTCCCCACACCCACCCAACATCTGGGCCAGCAGGAACTCCATCACAGTCTGTGAGCTTAGGTGGAGCCTAGGTGCCTTGCTCTACGCTCACCTGATTTTTTTTTTTCATTTTCTCTTTCTTTTTTCTGGTTTTCAGTTTGCTTGTTTTTGTCTGTTAATCATTAACTTTGTCTAGTAATTAATCAGGAGCTCTGGTAGTACAGTGCCTGAGGCACTTGACTGCTAACCAGAAGGCTGGCAGTTAAAATCAACCAGCCACTCCTCGGAAGGAAGGTTGGGCAATCTACTTCCATAGTGATACTGCCTCGGAAACCCAAGGAGGGGTCACTATGAGTCAGATCCAAAGCGACGGCATACAACAAAAACAATTTATTAATTATTGTTAATACCTTTGTCTTTTTTACTCTTATTCTTTATTCTCCCCATCCCAGGTCATAGTTTCCAGCTCTGTTTCTTTAACCTGTTCTTGGTTGCAATTTTTTTTCTTTTTTAATGGTTAACCCTGTTCCTTGTTTTTCTTTTTGTATTTTTTCCATTTTTTTCTTCATTTTTCTCCTTCCCTAACTTTTTTTCTCTAATTGCCCTATCCCCATATATTTCAGGTTTTCTTGTTTTTTCTTCTTCTTTTTCCCTTTTTTGGTTACTGTTCCTGTGTGATTGCATGGTATGTTTTTTGTCCATGTGTTTTTAGTTTTTTGATGGTTATTCAATTCTAATTTTTAACTAACGGAGTGGGATAAAGCAACAGTCCCCATAAGACACAACTACACCCACACATCCTGCATCTTCACTTATTGAGCAAAAGCCACCACCTCCTTCTCTCAACGGACAACGATAAAAAACCAAGAAGAGCCTGAATCACCCTTCATTGCTTTTAACAAACAGTTAACAGATATCTAAATACAACAAGGCCACAAAGTCTCGGAGACAACAGACCATCACAGTCCACACAAAGAAGCAAGAAAACTGGTAGAAACAAGGGAGCAGGATACAGATCCAGAACACATCCCTGAGGAAGAAGCAGCACTGGAAATCTCTGATAAGGAATTCAAAAGAATTATATTCAGGTATCCTCAAAGGATTGAGAGACAGACCAAAGAAAACACAGAAAAAACCCTAGAGAAATTTTGGAAGAAAATACAAGAAGAAAATGACAAAATAAATGAAAAATTAGAAATGATTCAAACTGTACAGTTAGAAATCCAGAAGACTAATACTAAATTCTCAGAAGTAGATAAGACATTGGAAGGGCAAAGGAGCAGAACTGATGCAATGGAAGACAGAATTAATGAGATTGAAGACAAATACCTGAATACTTCTTTAAAAAGGGATCAATCAGAAAAAAAAAAAAAAAATACGAAGAAAGCCTAAGATTCATGATGGGTACCATCAAAAGGAATAATCTAA